TGGATATATTCTCCAAACTAAATTAAAGAATGGTAGTGCCAAAAAAGTTATGTAGTTCAACTATTCAAGTGTCTGTCTTATAGTAATCAGTCCGTCATTCTGTTGAATTCGAGTCTATGACCTGAGGCTTATTACTATATTATTTTCATTTGCTCAGTGTATATATTTAAAGACTTACATAAAAGTCTTTAAAAAGCTAAAAAGTATATTTTTAAAAACTTCTTTTCTGTAGTTGTAGACAGACAGCATGCCTTTATTTTATTTGTTTATTTTTTTATGTGGTGCTAAGGATTGAACCTAGTGTCTTACACATGCTAGGCAAGTGCTGTGCCACTGAGCCACAGCCCTAGCCCCCCCAAAGTATTCTTACATACAATATTGCCTAGACACTGATTTGTTTTCTTTTTTGCCAGCTACAAAAATRTATGGATTATGGGTTGGGCATGGTGGTGCATGCCTATAATCCTAGTGGTTTGAAAGACTGAGGCAGGAGGATTGTGAGTTCAAAGCCAGCCTCAACAACTGCAAGGCACTAAGCCATTCATTGAGACCCTGTCTCTGAATMAAATACAAAATAGGGCTGGGGATGTGGCTCAGTGGTTGAGAGTCCCTGAGTTCAATCCCTAGTACCCCCCCCCCCCAAAAATGTATGGATTATATAGAACATATAATCCATATAATTAATAATAGTAAATATAGGATCAAGTGAATATTTCTTGAGAAATTTCTTATTCATAAAATATTTATTAAGCATGTGTTACTTTAGAAGCTAAAGATACAAAAATAATATGTTTCTGTGTTCAAGGAACTGCAAATTTAGGTGAGATAAATATACTTGCAAATAGGTCATGAGGGGTGATAAATGCTGTTTTTCATGAATAAAGAGCTATGTAAACATAAGGAAGTAATTAGTTCTGCCAGGAGGYTGGGGTAAGGATGGAAAAATTTTGAGTGGTTGGGAAGGCCTCACAACAGGAGTTAGCTAACTGAGTTCTAAGAATTACTGGGTTTACCTAAGGGGATTAGGACTTTTCAGAAGTAGGAAGATAGTATAGTTTAGTTGTTAAGAGCACAGATATTTGGAACCTAACTGATTTTTTGGAACTGGCTTCATTACTTACTTTGACATTGAGGATGTTACTTGAATTGAATGAAGTGCTTAACACACATTAGACATTCATGGAATGAAAGCTGTTGYTTCCACTGTTATTCATTATGATTAGATTATAAGCAAAGTCAGAGGAGTACGAAAATATATTGAGGCCAGGTGTGGTGGCACATGCCTTTGATCCTAGTGGCTTGGGACACTGTGGAAGGAGGATTRCAAATTTGAGATCAACTTTAGCAACTTTAGTGAGCCCTAAGAAACTTAGCAAGACCTTGTCTCAAAATAAAAATTAAAAAAAAAAAAAAGTTGTAGCTCAGTGGTAAAGCACCCCTGGGTTCACTCCCTAGCACCAAAAMAAAAAAGAAAATGCATTGAGATTCATATAACTTGGCTATGAGTAGGATGTGTATCTCATAAAAAACAACAACAACAAAAAAAAAACAAAACAAAAAGGACTGGGGATGGCTCAGTGATTCAATCCGTGGTTCCAAAAGAAAAAAAAGAAAAGCATCATGGTAGATGTGATTGGCCTGATCTCCCTTTACCAGCTGATGTACCTATCCACCAGCTCCCGTGAGTGTTGTCTGCTCATGTCTTATAGCTGACTCTTCTCAAGCATTGTCTTCTGCTAAGTGAGCTTTCTTGCTCAAGTGGATTTTCCTTACCCCATTCTGTAGTTAATGATTCATAGAAAAGGGATCCAGAAGTTCAGGCCCCTCACTTGAGGCCATGCCAACTTAGTAGCACAGTGCATGCTTTTGAGTGCCCTGCAGAAACTAAGACCCCAACCCAGCTTAGTTTATTCCCCTTGATCTATTCTACTCTACTTGCTCCTCTTCTTCTGAGATCAGTTCCTCAGTCTCTTCTATCGCTGTGAACTTCCACATAAGATAAACACCTGGGTCTAGATTGTAAAGGTTCTTGAATGCTTGCTTTAGAATTCTAGGTGCCATCCTCTAGGCAATAGGAAGCCTCATGAATTTCACAAAATTCACTTTAGTAAAGAGGGGCAAGAAGCCAAAAATGGGAGAATTTTTTTTTGTCCTGGGGATTGAGATTTGGAAGCACCAGTCCTTTTTATTCTTTGAGAGARGGTCTCCCTAAGTTGTTAGGGCTTCACTAAGTTGCTAATGCTGGCCTTGAACTTGTGATCCTCCTGCCTCAGCCTCCATGTACCACCATTCCTGGTGGGAACTTTTACGTGATCTAAGTAAGGAATGATAAGTGTCTCAATCAGTTGTCATTGATTGGGGGAGGGGAGATAAGATATAAGAGTCACTCGTAGGGGTTACGGAAGAAATGAGGTCTTAGACAATTTAAATATRAGGAAAAGAAATCAAAGATGCCTCTGAGCAAATGAGTAGGTAAATAGTTATATGAACTGAAAAAATAGAACTCATAGAAACTGGTAGTTTTGGAGTTAATGAGTTTAGTTTTGGCTGTCTTGAATTTAAGGTGTCCTGTGAAATGTCATATGGTGGAAATGTTCAGTAAGTTAAGTAGGAAATGTCTGTCAGTTGTGTGGAAGATGGGRTCAGGTCAACAACACTAAGGTGGTGGTTTTAGTTGTAAGGGAGTACAGGGCTCAAGGCAGAACYCTGGAAGCCCCATTTTTATCATTTAGAATGCTTTCAGCTCTATGTAACAAAAAAATCTAACGTTCTGAGTCTTCTTTCCTCATGAAGGAAAGGTGATTCCATTGATTCCAGGATTCCATTTGCAAACTGCATATTCTAGAGGGGGAGAGAGCAGCTGGTTCCTGAATTCCTGGCAGAAGTCCTAAGCTTTGAGCTAATCAGTTTTGAGGAAGCTATTGCTGTCAAGAGAAGGGGATATTCTAATTGGTTAAGATCAATCAGGGGGCTGGGGTTGTGGCTCAGGAATAGAGCACTTGCCTTGCATATGTGAGGTACTGGGTTCGATCCTCAGTATCACATTAAWTAAATAAATAAATAAATAAAGATATTGTGTCCATCTATAACTAAAAAAAATTACAAAAATAAAAAGATCAATCAGGGCTTATCCCCAAAGATGCAATAGGGTTAGGCATGATTAGCTGCATGCCTATAATCCAGCTACTTAGGTGGCTGAGATAGGAGGATCTCAAGTTTGAGGCCAGCCTTGGCACYTTGGTGAGACTCTATCTCAAAACAAAAAATTAAAAGGGTTGGAGATATAGTTCCGTGGCAGGGGGCCATGGGGTTCATTTCTTGGTACCATGAGCAAATCCCTGCCCCACCCCCAAACAAAAACAAAAACAAAAGCATGATTGTATTCAAGGAGGAGGGTGCAGTGTATGGAAGAAAGGTACAAACTTCACTCCAATATTATACTTAAGGGACAGTCAGGAGAAAAGAGCCAGTGACACAGGAAAAATGGTGATAGAGAGGGAAGAGAGACCTAGAGAAGTGCCTAGTGTTAATTCAGAAAGCCACTGGATTTGACAGTAGGTCACTGGTGATCGTAGAGCCATGTCCACAGCCTGGAAGGGCAGAACTCAAATGGTTGTCCAGCTAAATATGTGATAATGATAGGGATGCAGCAAGTGTATAATTTTTTGTATGTTTGTTTTAAGGTGGTAAATAGAACTGGATTAGGACAAATTAAAGTATAAATTTTGATTATGGACTTGGCATGTTTTCTGAATGAGGTGAAGAATTTAGGGTTTGAACCTTGGTTTGACCTCTAAACACACTTTTCTGCATGCCCTGAGATAAGTCACTCTGTTTTCTCAACCTCTGGTGAGTAATAACCATAATAAACATTTCATAGGAAAGCCATAGAGTTAAGCACGATAATGTTATGTGAAGAATATTTGTCAATGAAACTGTTATACAAATATTAGCTAGTAGTAAGCACATTGTTTATTTAAAMCCTATCTTCTTATAAGAATGTAAGTTATTATAGAATACTAGTATGTAGAACTGAAAGGCTTATGAGGGAGAGAGCGAGGGAGGGAGGGAAAAAAGGAGAGAGAATAAATGAGTATGAATGAGTGAATTAATGAAACATGGCCATAGTTCAGAAGCAGTTATTTCTTTTAGCATTCCTTCTTGACTTTGAAAAGTCAAAAGCCCTTAGGTTTTACATGATTTGTTTTTACACAATATCTTATTTATTTATTGTAATTTTTTTTTTTTTAGTTGTAGATGAACACACAGTATCTTTATTTATTTTTATGTGATGCTGAGGATCGAACCCAGGGCCTCACGCGTGCAAAGCAAGCACTTTACCACTGTAGGTACAACCCCAGCCCAGATTTTACATGATTTTTGTTAGCAATATTTTGTGTGGCTCTGGAGAGGGGACCCTTGTTGCTTGCTACTTTTTAGTTCCTTCCGAAATGAGCAGAAACAAAGTGAATAATTGTTATTGTATAGGTTACCAAGATGACTTTAATTTTTTTTTTTTTTTGGTGATTGTAGATGAACAGCATGCTTTTATTTTATTTTTATGTGGTGCTAAGGATCAAATCCAGTACCTCACACATGCCAGGCAATCTCCCCAGCCCCCAAAGTGATTTTTTTGCTTGAAGCTGTTGCAGATAGTAGCAATAGTAATAATAATGTTTAATAGTGATAATAATAAGTGATTGATGCTATCACTTTGTTATGTCACTAAGTATATAATTGACTTGTATCTGTCTTCTTCTTTCTTCCTCCTTCTTTCCTTCCCTTTCTTCTCTCTTCTTCTTTTCTCTTCCTCTGTCTTGGCATTGAACCCAAGGACACTTTACTACCAGGTGGGGTCTCACTAAGTTGCTGAGGCTGGCATAGAAATGAGAAGTACTAAGCGAATGATTACTTCAACATGAAATGGTTATTGAAGAAGTTGTGTGATTTTGTTTTAAATAAACTAAGAAAAATAATAAGTTTCCTTAACTAAAACTCAGATTCCATGCTGGTTTCCGTTGTGGGGATGGCACTGTACACTGGATACGTCTTCATGCCCCAGCACATCATGGCGATTTTACACTACTTTGAGATTGTTCAATGACCACGATGTAACCAGGATCTAGAGGTTCCTTGGGGAAGATCCACCCTATGAAGTTGGAATGAGACTTCATCAGATGTCATAAGAAACTCTACCAGATGTCAACATAACCAACCTTATAAATACAGAGACTAAGATCCATGAGTAGAACAGGAAAATCATCCTGACTCATGTGTTGTGTTCTTTATTTTTAATTTTGAAAGAGGCTCTTGTATAGTAGTTTTTGTCTATTTTAACATTGTAGTCATTTGTACTTTGATATCAGTATTTTCTTAACCTTTGTGACTGTTTCAATATTATCCTGTGAAAGCTTTTCTTAATGTAACTTTGAGTACATTTTAATTGCCTTCTATTTTTAAAACCCAAAGTCATTAGTTGGGCTCTACTGTTCTTGCTATTGTATGGCATATACATCTGCCTGGATATATTTTTACTCTTGACCAAAGTTTTGTAAGAAACAATACACGATTTGGGGCCAGGGGCATGGGAGGGAGGATATTTTATTGAAGAACTACTTACAAAAGACTTCTGTAAGCTTGAACTCAGGAGTACAGTTTAGCTATCTAGACTCTTAACAGCTTTTGCTTTAAAACTATTCAAGTGTTTCTTAGCAATGAAAAGTAAAAGATCTTGCTAAAATTAAAATAAGGAACACTTTACCTTTTAGATATTTATTCATTATGTAGACTTATTTCTAGAAAACTTTGGTGATGATTCTTGACAACAGATGGTTAAGTAGCATTATTATGTAATGCTTGTATATACTGTAGAGTTTTTAATAGAAGGTAAATCAGTTTCCTCCAAGGGCCACTATTAACAGTATATGTACTTTCTTGAATTTAGTTTTCATGATTGTAATGGGTGCTGCAAATGCATTTGCACATTGCAATAAGATGTGATGAGATGAATTGTTAAAAACTATAGCAGCAAAAAGAAGTGTAAATTTGGTTAAAATTCTTTCACTCTTTGTATTTTTTTTTAAGATTTTTATTCCTTAAATGTAAAATGACTACCTAATTTTTTGATGTAAGCTCATTAAATTCAAAGAGAAGAAAAATCAGCTRATGTAGTGGCCTGTCTTTTTTTCCATGGTTTAATATTGATCTAGTAGTTGTATTTCTGAGTTGATTGCTGTGAAGGATCAGAGAAGCAAGTGAGTATAAGTTAGATTATATATTTTAAGATAGCATAAGTTTTGCTAATTTTAAAGACTGCAGGTATTGTTGGCCCTAGATTTTAAAGGCTAGAATTTTGAAGTGCTTTCCAATTCAGAGGCCTCAAATAATATGCAACACTTGAGTTTTTTTTTTTTAAGAGCTCATCTGTATCATCCCAATTAGATTGGATAATATARTATAAACCCAATATGGATTGTATGTTACTGTTTAGTTTTAAAGTAGTTAAAATTGGTTAAGGTTTTATGAGCTGTATTCATACTCTTTTAGGTCAAATAATGAATTTGAAGATTTAACTTGGGATTTGTTGAATTAATGTTCAAATTTGCCATTCCTCTATTGTCCCCCCAAAAGAACTACTGATAGGGCTAGGGTTGTAGCTCAGTCGGGGAGCAATGGCCTGGCATGTGTGAGGCACTGGGTTCAATTCTCAGCATCACATATAAGTAAATAAATAAAGGTTAATCAACAACTTATTAAAAAAAAAAAAGAACTACTGATAAGTGGATACCTAATATCCCTTGGTGTGTTGAAGACAGGATAAAGTGAGAATCACTATTTAGGTGGGTACTGGATTCTCTACCTGGTCCTCAGAACTTTTTAATTTGTCCTCACTCTGCTGAAATCCATTAAATTTCTGTTGCATAGCTGATGATTGAGTTTTTTTTTTTTTTTTTCCTGTGAGATATGTGGAAGATCAGTTTAGTCTTACATGAAATCCTGAGAAAGTTTAGACAGAAATAGAAGAATGTCCATTGAAAGGTGATCAGGGAAGTATATTCTCAAATGGCCAGTTTGTTGGTTGGTAAATTAAAAAAATGGGGAGATAATTTCCACTTTCTTTGTTTAAAATAAAGTATTTATTAGATAATTCTCTTCATGGCCTGCTTGTCTTTCTGAATATCTTGTAAGAAGAGGTACTGACTAMCTTAATTCAGGTGTTTTTTCAAGGATAAAGATGAAGAAGATGGATACAGATGGTGTCTCCCTCCAGAGCAAAGGGTAGGTTTGCTTAGATCCTTGTAAGATAGAGGATTTCTCTTCCTGGAGGAAAGGACATTTAAAAAGATTTAGGTTCCCTGTACTCAGAATTCTTTTCCTGTAATGCAACCTTCTGCTTATGCAGGTTATATTGCCCCTTGGGAATTGGGGCTTGGGAACCAAAAATAAGAAAATTTTAATACTTTGGCTATTGCTCTGATTAATAAAGTCCTTTGTCTTTGACCTTGGAATCTCACATTTTCTGCCAGCATCTGTCAGGCTAACTTGTTGGCTTGTGAGTAGAGTAAAATTTCTGACCCTTCTCAGTTTTGGTGGTGAGGATGGGATATCGGCAGATGTGGTCATCTGGAAAAGGAAGAATAATGGTCTTACAAATGAGATTTGGAGAGGTGACAACTCCTAGGATTCAGTGATAAATGCTTTTGTCCAAGTATTGGGTGAGTTAGGAGAAAAAGGATCCCCCAATAGTCTGTTTGTCGTAGTGAGAAGGAAGGAAACAAGCTTCCTAAATGGTGCCTTGGTGGCTGCTCATTCTTTGCTGGTAGAAGGGATCTTATCACAGTGGGACAATAGGCTCTACTGCCTTTGACTAAGGGAAGTGTGTCTATGGCTGCTCAGCCAAAGAATCCTGAAAGTTGAAGTAAATAGTGTCCAYAGGGAGGACCATACTATTCAGCAAAGACCTTGGGTGTTTCGAAAACATTGGAAGCTAATTCAGGTAAGCCATGAATGAGTGGCAATTTGAAATGGAAATTGAACTTGAAACTTAAGTTTCATTAAAGAGAGCTGCTCTTTTTCTCTGTCCTCCCAATCTCTCCCTTGTGTTCTAACCTGAGCTTCATGAAGGAGAAAGATGGTTACAAATGAGACCCAATGCATACCTGCTCAAGTGTGTTGGAGAATTTTTGCAAAGGGGAGAAATTAAAACTTATGGCTCTATTGAATATAGCTATACAAGGCACTAGCTTTCCCTGTGGGATGATGGGGCATCTTYGCTCAATTGATTGGATTTGAGCAACAGTTACAGTGGCAAAGGGAAATTAGTGTGACCTTGTTGCTTGAGGCCTTAGTGTACTATAGCTTTTACATGAATGCATAATTGATATTTGTTTTACATGCCTATACTTTGAATGATTGTAAGTGCCAGAGATGATCCTTATAACTCTCTATGTATATAGAGAAATGTTTGTACCTTTGGGTCCCAACAACTAGAACAACTCCTTTGAGCTACAAGTTTTTGACTATGACTTTACCATTTTGCTGGTAAAAAAGAAGCATCCTTTATCTGGAGGCACCCTTTGAAGATTTTGACTCCTTGTCCCTCTTATATGTCTTTGAAATATCTCCCTTTTGAAAAGCATCTATTAGCATGCCTCCGGGCTCTCTCCAAACTGATACATGGAGGTTTTGTCACTCTGGCATGATAGTCCCATTTTTTGAGTCAACTGGACTCAAGACAAGGTGAGCAAGGGCCAAAGAAAGTCACTGTCAAATGGAAATGTCATTTTCAAGAATATAGCTGATCTGGTTCTAGCAACTTCTCAGTATTACATGAAAAAGTGGCCACTGTTCTGCTGGGGATATTTCATTGCTTATTCTGCTGCCTGAGGCAAAATTGCTGGTTCAATGGGGACTTCAATTCATAAAGTTTACCATAAATGCCTGGGACTAGTTTACTGTTAGTTCAGAAGCTCAACCCTGATGTTGTCCACTGAGCTGTAGCCACTGCTCAGCCTTAGAGCTATGTCAGCAGAATCAAATGTGGGCATTGTTCTGTTCACTATGCAGAACTTGAAACTGTTCTCACAGTCCTGGCCTATATACCTTTTKGCAAAAGTTTGTTATATTTTTACTGACTACTGGGCTATAGCCAATGGCCTAGGATTTGGTTTCAGACTGGTAGGTTAAAGATGCCCTTCTTTTGGGTCCCAAAATGAGATAAGAATATTACATAATACATTAATTAAACTGTTTGTTACTCATGTAAGTGCCCCCCCCCATAGTAAGGATCAATTCTCTGGTACTAGCTGCTGATAAGCTGTACTAGCCATCATTACTGCCTAGATCCATCATCCTACTGGACACAGCAACCTGTCCACCATTGTAGGTATGGCACAAAGGACCTAGTTTGTGATTCAGAGGCTACCTGTGCACCAGACCTGTGAAAGTGTTGCCATGTGTGTGGGGTGTGTAGGAGGATGGCGGTGGTTGTGTGTGTCACATAGAGAGCCATCACCTCCATTTCCCTACACTGTGCTCGCTGATATATCAGTCCTTTGACCTCTCAGTAGCATTCCTTGTGCATCACTGCTATTGACACTTTTTCAGGTGACCCTTTTTTCCCCGTTACAATATTGCTGTTCCAGACTGCAGTAGATCCTAGCCATACTATTGTAGTCCTTAAGTGGCCCAATTCTTCTGGGTGACCAGCATGCTGGCTTCATACAAGAGGTTCGTAGCATAGAAGTTAATTAGTGAGATCAAAATAAACATAAACTCAATTTACCTTTTTCTTTGACCATGTCTGAGATGGCCCTCCCTCTGGCTCCTGCCTCGAGCCACCCGGTGGGGCAGCGAGGCTTATTCAGGACTAGCAGGAGAGAGAGAGAGCACGCCAGGGAGTGGCCTTTTATTGGGGAACAAGAAATTCAGGGGAAAATTCCATCCAATGAAGGTTGAGGGGGACAGCATTCCAAGGTCAGGGTTAGTGATTGGTCTCAGGGTCAATGGTCAGTCACACCCCCACACGGAAGGGCTCTCCCACCTAGAGAGGGTGGGGATTAGTTCCGACAGAACGCCTCACACCCAATCAGGGAGGTGCCCAATCACGTTTGAGAATGGCTTCCTACAGCCCTAGAACTGAAAAATAAAAATTTCCCTTCTTTCTTTCCCTGGGAATTGAACCCAGGGCAGTCTACCACTGAGCTACATCCCTAGCCCTTTTTATATTTTATTTTGAAGTAGGTTCTTGTTACATTTTCTAGGCTGGGCTGGAACTTGGCAACCCTCCTGCCTCAGCCTCCTGAGTTGTTGGGATTATATGTGTGTGCTACCACTCCTGAAATCAAATAGATTTCTGATTGTGGATCCCTCATCTGATTATGGAATGTGATTGTGCTTAGCCATTTCATGGTTAATGATCAGGATGATCTATTGMTATTTTAAAATTTGGGATTTCTTCCTGACCATTCCTGGGTATGATGCTTTTCAATTCACTAAGGGCATCCTCAGACCAGTGGATTGGAAATCTAGTCAAAAGAGACCTAGGAATTTCACACTCAAATTCTGGTTCAACCATTTGGAATCTTGTTGGATTTGTATGACCCAGTATCATGAGGCCAGTCACTACTTGGTAAGTACACTGCTTTGTGAACTGCTGAGTTGTTCATGCAGGCCAAAGTGGGTAGCATAATGAATCTCTAAGTTTTATAAAAATGGCTTATCCCTTTTACATTGGACTCTGGGATTAAAGGTCTAAGTGTGAACAGAGATGCTTAGGAAAAGGTGATTTATAGTTACTGAAATGAGGCAAACTGGTTTTGTGGGATAGAAAGCAATCCCAGCATCTGGGGTGAGAACACCTGAGACACCAGGAGTTGGGAGGAAGGATCTCTAACAATCTTTTGTCTTTCAGTGTGACACCTGGATTCTTCTTCAGGAAGGAATACGCCTGAGTACTCTCCTAAAATGTTGCAAATACCTTAAATGGTGAAACTGTCGAATCTGCCTTTCTTTCCGAATGGTTCCATCCATGATCTTGATTGTCATTTCTCTTCACCTTAGCAAGAGTCTACCAGAAAGAGCAGTGGATAACCCAGCTTCCATATCTTCCATTCAAAACACCGGTTAATACTACCAGATGTCTTCCACATCTCCATTC